ACTACTCTCTCTCTCTCTCTCTCTCTCTCTCTCTCTCTCTCTCACACACACACACACACACACACACACCAGCATCTTGATTGCTATGCCTCTAGTATAAAGAAAACAAAAAAACAGAGGGAAAAAAGCAAGAGGAAAATATCATTAAATACCTCCTTGTAAAATGCACTGATCTCCTCCTCAGTCAGCTCCTCGCCACCTGCATTTTCCTCCCAACCTAAGGATCGCAAGAATGCAGCCTCTTCCTCTTCTGACCCACAAATCACAGTGCCCCCACGCCTGCCTTCCTCTTCACCCTTGGCTTCTCCTTCCTCACCTCTCTTGCCTGATTCAGAGCAAGTATACAAACTATTCTCCAAGAACCCAGTCTGAGAAGGTATAACCTCTGTTTCATTGTTACTCAATTTGTCAAAGCCCGATGAAAGCCCAGCACTACTTTGTTGAGTCTTCCTCCTAAGAGAATTGAAGAAGTCAGACCGGTTCTGAGCCTGAGATGAAGCTCTCTTGTCCTCTGTCATCAATGTGACATCCTTTGGACGGGTAGATGAAACGACTGAGACAGTGTTGCCAAACCCTGGGGGGCTATGGTTTCCATTCCTTAACATACCAGTGCCATCAGCTCTTTCTCTGGATGGTTTAAGAAGCAAGAGCTTTCCTCCTTGAGATGGCCTAAAAGTATCGGGTTTTGTGGCCCCTTTGTATGAACCTGGGAGTTGAGGGATGGCAGCAGGTGTACTGGGCTTCACTGCTGGAGTAGCCCTTTCACTGGATCTTCCTGGTTTTAGCTTTGTTTTCTCTGAAAGGCTTACCCCCTGCTTGTTTAAACCCAAAGAAATCACCAAGTCTCAGAAATGGATTGAATTAGATGGTATCACAATTGAGATTCTATTGTACAATTACCCTTACATTTGCAAATGGTGAATTTAAACTAGGATCAAGATTGTTCATATTCCTTTCCCCACTCCACTTCATTTCATTTGCTCACATTATATGCACACTTATATAATTCAAGTACCATTGTATTGGAAAAAAAAGAAAGAGACAAGAAATAAAAAGAGCATCAGAAATAGATCAACATTTTTAGCATTAAAGTAATATTCTATCAACATAGTTTAGTGACAATTACAGCATTACTTTCAATTTTTTTCACAAGAAAATTTTCGAAGGTCATAATATATACAAAATTATCCCAGTTTATTGAATTTACTGCAAGATGTTAGGCTTCCTAACAAAATTGCACTAAATTATCTTCCCAATAATAATAGGATTGATCTGTATTGCCAACATAAACGACCCTAATTAGTTAGGAAAAGGCTTTGACAATGATGATAATGTATTGCCAACGTGCCTAAATAAAATGCATTTATCTATATAAATGATTTATATTAAATCAGAAAAAAAAAAAATGATTTATATTAGATTATCAGAAATAGAAGTTTTCTAATGGCGATAAAAGATGATTGCATGGAAGCTATATACTTATTTATGGTAAATATGAACGTATGGAAGATATGTTTCAATTTTGGGATTATAGAAAAAGATTTACATTATCGTTTATTATCCTTCAATTGATCTTTTACTAATTTTCAAAATACATATATTAGTTTATCACAAACCGAAAGTCGACAACTTTCATTGAGCTTCCATGATGCTCTTTACTTCAAAATCCGCCTCTTTATTATTTGTTGGCCTCCTACACTCTTCCATCTCTATATTGCTTGCCCTATATATCTCGCATACATATTCATTCTAGTTCAAGAATAAAGATCCATATTTTCGAGCCTCTACATCCAATTTCAAATACAACAAGTGACCAATGTTCTAAAAAAACACGCAGCCCAACTCCTAGGTACCCATATTCTCCAGCCTCTACATCCAATATCAGATACATGTATGTGACCAGTGTTTTAAAAGCATGGGCACCCCTTTCTGAGCACCAGTACCTAGGCCTTTGCTTAGTTCTAGGCAGGCGCCCAGGGCCATGAGCCCTTTTTATATTTTTAAAGAAACCTTAAGGGGGAATGGGGTAATTTTGACCCCCAAAAATGTTTAAAAAGAGTATGGAGTTTAGTTTAAACCCCTAAAAAAAAAACCACAAACCCTAATCAATTAATTATACCTATTTCTAAGAATCGAAAAAAAATTGTGTGGTTTGAAGAAGCATCCTAAGCTTTTCTTTTCTCATTAGAATTATTTTTAGGGTGCTAGTGGAAGTATTAGAAGACTTTTGAGGTGCGTTGTAGCTCGATTGAGGTCACAAACATTGAAGAGCAGAGATTAGGAAAACGGTTAGTTTATAATATGTATTTGAGTTTCTTTTTTCGAATTTGAGATGTCTTCTAGGGGGTCTACTAAGAGTGGGAATCCAGGATGGAAGTATTGTGTTAACCCAAATAAGAATGACAAAAACAAATTTATGTGTAGTTGTTTAGGACATGTTTTTAATGCCAGCATAAATAGATTCAAGAAAAATCTTACTGGTATTAGAGATAATGTTGCCCCATGCAAGAAGGTTCCCAAACTTGTCAAGGAAGATTTCTGATTACATAGAAGCTGAAAAAAACAAAAAAACAAACAAAAGAAAAGGATATAGAAGAATAGAAGGCGGGGGGATTCATGTTTTTGATGATGATGTTGATATTGATGAGGATGGAGGGCAGGAGGAGGTAGGCCAAGTGGCGGTTACTCAGAGCTCTAAGAGTCAGACGGGTTTTGGATCTAAGAGGCCTTGTTTGACAAGGCCTATTGACAATTCTTTTACGCCTAACCCTGAGATAGTAATTGAGTAAGGGAAAGGTAAGAGAGAAAACAGTGACACTTGAAAATAGAATTAAGAAGGAAAATAGAGGCCAGGTAGTTCAGTAAATTGCTTGGTGGTTTTTACTATGCGGGCATTTCTTTTAATACCGCTCGCTTGAATAAGCTTCCATACAATGTTTGAAGCAATTGGGCAATTTAGGCCATGGTTGAAAGGCCTCGCTCGGAACACGTTCCTTAAAATTGTAGATCTTGTTCCTGAATAAATTAGATCCTAGCTCCCAAAATTTTAGATGCGTGATCCCTATGTTCCGGGAACTCCATCCCTACGTTCCAAGAACTTTCTAAAAGAAACTTCCCAAATAAAATAATTATATTTTAAATCAAATTTTCATACAAGTGGAGTTCTGCTATGGGAGCCCAGACTAATCATGCACGGAACGCGATCCTTCCTTGCATGGAGCTCGTTTCTTTCCAAATAAGAACGCGGTCATTCTTAAATGGGGGCGGATCACGTTGTCGATGGAGGCGCAATCCGAATGAATATGGGAACACGATTCCATTTGAACATGTACCCGTTAAATAAGGATCTAGGCCCCGATATATTAGGAACGTGCTCCTTGTTCATTCGGAATCTCTATTACCCTCATCGGAACTCTCTCTGGAGCTTTGGGCAGCCATCAATCCAACGCTCCCGCTCCTGGAACCGTTCTTGCTCCCACTCTTGGTAACTATGTTTCCACCCTTGGTGAAGGTCCTGCACTTGGCTGATTTTGATAAACACTCTGTGGGCTTTTATATACGATGCACTTGAAGGAAGGAGATTGGAGAATTTGGCCAATGATGAGGCCAAGTACGGCCCAATTTGGGAGATTATAGATGACGAGTGGGATAGGTAGCTTCATAGGTCATTGTATGCAGCGGGATACTACATACAAAAGATACAATTCTGTATGGTTTCAATGTGTGCCTTGAGAGATTAGTTCCTGATCCAAAAATCCAAGATAAGATATCAACTAAAGAACCCATTTTGTACAATCGTGCTTCCAAGTCATTCAGGAAAGAAATGACACAAAGACAAAGGATCAAAGTAGATCCAGGTAATATATTTTGTTTGCAAATTTTCTTTCAAGTTCCTAATAATTACTGTTGTATTTTAAATTTGCTAAAATTCTTTATGATAATGTTAAATTAATTATAAAGGTTGCACACAAATTGCAGCCTAATGGTGGAGACAGCATTGGAGTGGTGCTCCAAACCTCCAGAAGATGGTTATTCAGCTCTTGAGTTTGACAACTAGCTATTATGGTTGTGAGCGGTATAATCTTTTCTTGCTTACAAGTTCATTTTTCTGATATAGATTGGATTCATAGAAGATACGAACCTATTAATATATAATACATTACAAATAGATGGGTCAACTAATAGTAATACTCATGCATTCTTTCTTATAGGTGAATACAAAGAAGAAATAGGCTTAAGCAAAAGAAGCTCAATGACTTGGTTTTTGTTATAGAGAATCAGAGGCTCAAGGATAAGTTTAACCAGCAAAAGAAGGATCCCATTGCTTAAAAACACAGTGAGAACGCTTGTAATTGGTTAGTTGAAGACCCTTGTACTGAAAAGGTCTTCCTTGGCGAGAGTTTGACCTGGGAAATGGTCGAAGAGGCTTGGGGTCCAGCTTCTGATCCTAGGAGGGCCACTCGAGCAACAACTGTTGCTGGTACTTCCCACTCATAGAGGGCAAGGGAGACAGATGAGGAGAAGGCAGATTCACAAGAAACAACGGAAGAAGAACAATATGTTGAAGAGGGTGACAATTCTGACGATGACGGCCTCGATTGAGATGGAGATGCAAGCGATAATGATGTTGATTCTGATTCTTACTGATGATGATCGGAGAAATGAAGATGTAATCTCTCTTCTTTTGTAGTTTTGTATTTCATCTTTATTGCACCATCTTGGTTTGGACTTCGGACATTTGGATGTCGGACTTGTTGCTGTTTTTGGACTAATGGTTACTTGGTTGTATACTTTTGTAAGCTTACTGAAGACTTGGAGAGTTGGAATCCAAGTGATTATCGATAATGGAGAGTTGGAGACCATTAATAATATAGTTATACACTATAAACTATTAGACTTTTAACTTTTTTACGCCTTTTCACTAAATTTTCTGTGATTTGAAGTGTTGAAGAGGTTATTCTTAACATGTGATATGTTTATAAAAAACAAGTTTGCTACAATACATATAATGCAAAAAATTACAAAATTAACGCAACTATATGCCTATATGTGTGTTGATCCTATAGACTATTAGAATTTTTAACTTTTTTAAGTCTTTTCACTAAATTTTCTGTGATTTGAAGTTTTGAAGAGGTTATTCCTAACATTTGGTATGTTTGTATAAAAAAAAATTGTTACAATACATCATCATCATCATTTTAGCCTTGTCCCAATTAATTGGGGTCGGTTACATGAATCTTGGTTCTCCAATCTGCTCTATTAAAGGTCATATCTTCAGTGATGCCATAAGTCCCCATATCTTTTCAGACAACTTCCAACCACATCCTTTTGGGCCTACCCCTTGCCCTTTTCAGTCCTTCCACTTGAACTAATTTGCATCTTCTAACAGGTGTTGTAATTGGTCGGTGCCACACATGGCTAGCCCACCTAAGTCTACTCTCTCATTTTATCGCCTATTGGTGCCACGCCTAAATTCTCTCGAATAGATTCATTGCAAATTCTATCCCTTCTTGTCTTGCCACTCATCCATCTCAACATCCTTATTTCCGCTACACTCATTCTGAGTATATTGTTTTTTGTCCGCCCAGCATTCTGCCCCATAAAGCGAAGCTGGTCTCACCGCTGCCCGAAACTTGCCCTTACATATAATGCAAAAAATTACAAAATTAACATAAATATGTGTGCGTTTGAACAACACACACACACACACACACACACATATATATATATATATATATATATATAT